AGTCATTTTTCAAATATTATCTTTATTAACTCTGATTCTATGATAGACATTCTGTATATCAATCTTTGAGAACATCTTTACTTCAGATAATTGATTGATCATCTTGTCAATTAACAGTAATAAATAGTGATTCTTAATCATCACTTTATTAAGGCCTCTGTAGTCTATGCATAGATGTAGTCTATCATTCTTCTTAAGTACAAAGAGTATAGACACTTCTGTCAGACTCTTTGATAAATATATTCAGTTTTTTGATTGTGCTTCTTCAAGATATTTATGCAGAACATTCAATTTCTTTACAAACAAGTTGTAAAGAGATCTGTACAGTATCATTGCACTGTCTTCAAGGCAAATCTTATATTATATCTTGATGTCAGGAAACTTCACTACTTCTCTTTTCAAAAAGACATTCTTAAAATCTGTAAAGAGATTTTATGTATATTCATCTTCAATAACAGATACTGCTGCTAATCTTGCAGTGAGAGTGATAACTTCTTCATCTATCTTCAAGTTCTAATCATCTGCTATACAGTATATTGACTCAATCTTTTTCTCAAGATTCTTTCAATGAAACTCTTCAGATTTCTCTATCACTGTCTCTTTATCAGTGAGATAATATCATCACATCTGAATAACTCAGTCAATGAGAGAATTGTTTTCTCTCAATTATAGAAGATCTAGAATAACATTCTCATCTATAATATTAACTATATGAAGAAGCAGACTGCTTTTCTTGAAGATTTCTTCTAAGTCTGTGATCACACACTTTGCTTGAATTATGTCAAAATAATAATATTTTATTTCATCAGTAAATTTTGTATGATCTGACAGATCTATCTTCTTTTAACTCTTTATCAAAGAAAAGAAATAGAATATAAAGTTAGTATTCATCTCAGAGTCAAGTAGATATCTCACTGATATCTTCTCATTCAGAGTATGTATTATGATTATAATATAAACTTAAAGATATAAGAATTATTAATTCTTCATTTCTTTCTCTTCTTTATCTTCTGTGAATACATTTGTCAGAAGAGAAGTTAACTTTAAGAAGATATCTTCTTAATTTCTTCTCTTCTTCAGCTTCTTACAATTACTGATATAGTAATTATCAGCTCTGCAGTTAAAACAGAGATCTTTATTAAATCTTTTTTAATATTTCTTTACAGTGAGTGAAGAATCAGAATACTTGAAATTCTTCTTTACTTTCTCTACACTGAAGCTGTTATAACACTGTTTAGATTCTGTTATTAATTACTTAGAAGAGATCTTATTAGTCTTTTTCTTAAAGAATTAATTATTCAAATAGATCTGAGAAGTCAGATTAACAAGCTCAGTGTAATTGATTGATAAACTCTGATATTATAATATTATTATTCACATCTTATAAGTCAGCTTTGTAAGATAAAGCTGTATTTTTAATTGATTCAAATTATCAGTTAATTTCTCTTAATATTCTTCAAATCTTGTATTGAAATTAAAAGAATTCTTATTATTTTATTAATATAATAAGTTGAATCACTGCACTGCTGTGAAGCTGCAGTTACAGTGATCTTTAATTTAGTTCAGTAGAAAGTTCTTGAATTCTTCTTAAGTTATAATAGTATTAATACACTCAAGCTTTCTCTTTTTAATAGCTCAAGTAGTCACAGAGATATCTTCAAGAAGGTTGACAGTATATATTACTCATATCTTATAAGTATTATACTGACTCAGATTAAGGTGAAATTTCTGTTCAAGAGTACAGATAAAGCTGTGAAATTCAGATAAGATATTTCTCTTATATCTTAAAGAATCTCTGATCTTAATCTCTCTATCTTTATAATAGATGTAGATGTGTAGAGATCATGATAGTGATAGAGCAGTTAAAGAGCTCATATCAAAATATACAGCAAGTTCAGAAATCTCAGATTTCTACTGAGATAGAGATATACACACTCTAGAGAATAATATAGTGTTTTTCTCAGAGAGTGAGATCAGATCAGTCTCAGCATATATGTATAAAGTTATATCAGTCTATTAGAGCTCAACTGATTCAAACATGTAATCAGATTAAGTGATTTGAATTATAATATAACAGAACTGAAGCAGTGACTAGTTAATAGTATTATATAGAGATAGTTATTTAAGAAGCTATATAAGTGAGCTTGACTATCTTACTTAAATAGTGAGCTTGTAGACTACAGAGTTATTATAAGAATATCACAGATATAATATTTAGTATACTAAGAAGATTATATAAGATACATAGTAACTCTTATATATATTTCAGTAGAAGAAAAACAAATCACTGACTTCTTTAATAAGAAGTCAGCATCTAGCTATTCTATATAGATAATAAGTGAATACTCTTCTCTCATTTCATGAGTGAGAATAGTCAGACTGATATTTCAGCAGTGTCTCACTGTTAAGAAAGAGTAATTTGCTAACCTTATATAGAAGCAGAGTTCTCATATTCATCAATCAGATCTTTCTATAATATATCTGAATAATATTATAGAGTGATTGAAAACCAGTTTGAATAGAATAAAATCATCTGTATAAAAGTGATGAGCTGTGTGAAACCGCAACAGAGTTCTGACGCGGCCGGGAGCGTGATAATACAGCTTGAATTGCATTTACTGCAGTATTTCTTCATAGAAGTATTCATTCTATTTATATTAAATAAGAGTTAATTCTTCTTAAGATAAATCAGAAGAGCTTTTCAGTGATATAAGTTATTAATAATTCTTTTTCAGTCAGTGAAGAGATTAACTTATCTTTGTATTTTATTCTCTATTTATATCTTCACAGTGATTATTCTATATTAACTTTAACTCTGACTTATTATATTTAATACAATACTTTCAGCATCAGATATATTCTTTAAGTTTATAAATTATAATCACTAACTGATCTGATATTGAGTTCTTTACTAAGATCTTTATTTTACTAATAGTTAAGAAGATTAAACAGCTTTCTTATTATAATTTTCAGAGTTAAATACTCAGTAGAAAAGAAGAATTAAGATATAACTTTTTTAATCTAATCTATAACTCTCTCACTTATATTATTATTAAATATTCATAATATTATCTCTTTTAATAGAAAATTCTCATATAACAGTATACTTGATATCTGAAATATTTATACTCATACTCAGTGAGATTACTATTATTATAATTCATATTTTCAATATTAATTTTATAAACTTCTCAAAGTAAATATTTTAATTCACTTCAGATACTTAAGATATAAAATACTGAATAATATTATTAATGAAAGAAATATTAGTATTATTAATATTCTATCTATTATTCTAACAGATCTGAAGAAGTATTAATTAGATATATTACACTGCTTATTAAACTTTAATATAACTATTAATAAAGATAATAATTTTTAAAATATATTAAGATATAATCTTTTCATTCATATCAATAATCTTATTTAATAAAAAATATAATATATTATAGAATACAAGTTTATTATATAAAATTAAATATATATTAATAAAGATATCAGAATAGTTAATAAAAGTTCAAATAATTTAAGTTTATTATGAATTTATATTAATAGAATAAAATTCAGTCTTTTAAAGAATAATATTCTCAGCTTTACTACTGAGAGTTATAGAATAGTTAAATCAGATAATATTCTTATAAAGAAGTAATTTCAGATATCTCAGTCTGATAAACTGATTACAGAATTAACTTTACTATATAATAAGATAATACTTATTAATAGTTATAAGCTTAATCTTTTCTTATAAAGTAGAGTCTTAAAGAATATACTGAAATCACTTATAAAGAGCTTACTCTGAACTAAGCAGTATATATATATACTTACTCTATTAAATATATTTAAGTAAGTCTTCTTATCTCTGAAGATTATCAGTACTGATTAGATAAGAAGTAATACTGAGAAACTATACTATATCTCTTATTTACTGATTATTAAGCTTATTTAAAGAAATCAGTTAAATAATTATCTTTTCTATCAGAATTATATAGAATTAAAGAATAAGACTCTTTTTATAATCAGTTCTGATAATAAATAAAGTATTACTATATTTATATATTATATACTAAAGTATATAGACTTATTCTATATATAGCTGAAGAGTATACTCAGAATCTAAATATAGATCTTGAAGTATTTATTAAAGATAATACTGAATAATATTCTATTATTTATTAATACTATCTGATTTAGTATAGCTTATAATAAGTTATAATATATCTTTAATATTCATTGAAAGTATTTATTTTAATGATAACTTTTAAAACTGTTATTATAACTAACTTATATATTTTCTTTAATCTCTCTTAATTATATTTAATACAGTTAATAAGATATTATTTAACTTAGTTATTAAAAAGTAACTCAGCTGTTAAAAAGAAGTATTATATAATTGATTCAGAAGTTATCAGAAGATTTCAGAAGTTATTAGAAGTTATTATAAGTTAATATACTATATAAGATTATTAAGAGATCAGAAGTTATCAGAAGTTATTAAAAATTACTGAAAAATATACTCAGTACTTTAACTATAGTCTTTAATAACTGAATAGATGTTTTAATAGTAAGATTAAGATATTGAATAACTAGATATAATTATGATTGAAAAATTAGTAAATTATTCTTATATTTAAAATTATAGTAGCAGTTTTCAATGTAATACTTTATACTTAGAATATATATATTTTCAGATAAAAATTATATTAATTAACAGAAAATTGAAAAATTAATTCTTTAAAATAATAGAGAAATAATCTATAAGTAATATTATACAGTGATTCTATCTTAAATATTATAATTAAAGTAAATCATTTCTATATTATTAATAAATAGAAACTGTTTTTTCTCAGATACTCTGTAAAGAGTTTACTGAGAATATCTTATTTAAATTTAGTATAAGTTCTGTGACAGTTGATTAACTCAGATGTTAGCAGGACTTGACAGAAAGTAGCAGTAGTTCAGATTGAGTTAGCTTGAAGTGAAGTGGCTGAGTTTACTGAGATAATAGAGATGAGGCTCAGGGCCATTTTATCACGTGAGTATTCTATTTTTAGCCTCAAAATCCTGTTCTGCAATTGAAATCACCTCAGCGTATGAAAAAGCCCTCACTGATTATGTTCGAATGGTACAGAATATTCATTTATCAATGTGAGAACCAAAGGCTGGGTATGCTCGCTGTGCCATTGATGGGTACATACCCACTACACTACCTTTAGGAGAATCGCTAATCTTTGGATAACTTGAGGACAATAGAAACTCAAATGATGAATATCGAATCTCCAACTGCACAGCTTACGCTAACTAAAGGAAGTATAGTATCAGCGAAGCAAAAGCGAAGGCAGCAACAACAAGGAAGAAGAAAATCCCAACGCCCTCCCAACAACGCCAGTCATGGAACAATTACAGGAAAAGAAACGGCCAAAGAGGTTTCAGAGTACAGATATATATATGCTATACGTATGTATGTATGCACGATGCAGAATGAAACGCGTGGAGGGATGAGGAGTACGAACATATCCAACCTCGGTCTGTAAGGCGAGGGGAAGATGGTGGGTGACTCGCATTTAAAACCTGTGTTTTGGAAATAGCCACACACGTTAGTTATTTAACACCCACAACAAGGCAAGCATGTCATCCGATATCTAGCCCCCATTCAACCAGTAAATTCGGAATTCATTGAAAGGAAGAGGGGGGGCAATCTTACCTGATCTCATAACTTCCCGCCCTAGTCATGTACCTTACCCATTTAACACTACTATAATTATTCTTCTCAAACACCTTCAGGTACCTCACCAACAGCCCGCTACTCGTGAACATAAGCAGACTAAACTCAAGACTGAGCGGCGGCCGACTCCATGCCTTCTGCTGTGTCATACTCGTCAACGTCGCGTCTGCGGTGAGTATACACTCGCTCTGGCCCGAGAATCGTGTAATCTTCCAGACAATATTATTCTGCTCTGGTTCATATTTCGCGCGTCCCTGACTCGTCCGTTCTATGATCTTGGCCGCATTGAGCGGGGTAGGGATGCGAACGATGACGTTAGTCGCGAACAGCTTCGAGCTGAAGTTGGCCTTGATGGCAATGCTGTATTCGACCTTAGTAGTGCCAATCTCACGCACGATCGGGTGAATCTTAAATGGCAGGTTCACGTTTTCCGTTGCCCGGTAGCGCATCAGCTCAAATTCCCCGTCAGGGGGAACGAAGGAGATGATACGGTCAGCGTCGAAACGACCAAGTTTCACGCACTGGTGGAACTGGCAGTCCTCCAGCGTAACGCTGCCTGCTGCCGCGCGTGTTGCTTTCGTTCTGCCATCCGATCTTCCGGCGCCATCATTGTTGTCGAGAAGTAACTTGTCATTCAGGCCAAATTTACACTCCGGCGTACCGGATAGATACGCTCGCATAACGATCTGGCCATTTACGTCAGCACGCAGGACGGTCCCGGTAGCCGACATGAGCAAGTTGACATCCTCAATAACGTCGACAAATGCCTCGTTCTTCCTGTATTTGATATCCGATCGGCGCCACGACAGGGCTCCCGTAGCTTGCATAGTAATTTTGCTAGAATCCGAGGGCGAGTTTGCAATGGTTGATTTGACGCCCTCTGTCGTAATGTACATTTTAAGGGTATCCGTTTCGGTGTTCTGGGGGTATCCAAAGTCAAGTATCTCTATTAATCGCTCAGGGAAAAGTAACCCACGAAAATTAGCCAAAGCTCTGTCAAGAGAAATTGGGCACATCCACTTCGACAAAGAAGATATATATAGCACCAACTCACCATCCAACAGCTCATAAACAAGCACGAAATTATTCTTCACGGCCTCCTCATCGAACTTCCCAAAATACCCCTTCCCCAACAACACAAACCGATACAGAAACTCAAACACCAGCGCCGCATTCACATTGCTCTTTGTCACCGCAACCAGGTATATATTCTCATGCTTGACATGGCTGAACGTCGTCGATCCCAGCGTTAGAATGGGTGAGCGAACCTGCGGGTTGGAGATGACCTGGATGCGGAATACGTCTGCGAGACGCGGGCGGCAGTCGTTGCGAAAGGCGCGGTAGATGAGGTTCTCGCCCTTATGGTTGAAGATTAGGATGCCGGAGAGCATATTGATTGATCTGAGGGCGCCTGCGTTTTGCTCGTTAAAGGGACATTTGCTGTGATTGATTGGCAGGCGTGGAGGTTGCGGACGGACGGGCAATATTACGATACCGTAAAGTTTCGTAATAGTAGCTCCCGCTACAACAACGCGAGCGACGAACCCCTCCTAGATTCCACGTAACGGTGTTAAGCGCTGCGTACTCAATCGATCGTTTAATAAATATCTATTGATACATGTACTAGGCTTTAATTTACTACTACATTTATTTGTTAATACCTACTTCATAGTTCTTGTAGCTTGCTACCGTGCAGCACGTCATCAAAGGGCAGCATTGAATTTGGCCGCCGGTCCACTGAATTGAATATCATTAGTTAGAAAAACTCAGTGTTCAAAACATCGTCTTCTATTAGGCCATCGCGGCCATATAATGTGGGTATATGCTGGTATCTGAAGAATGAGGTAGGGGCGAATATTCGCCCAGAAAAAAAAAAAGAAAAAGAAAAAGAAAAAGGAAAAGGAAAATTAAAAAGCAACTCTAACAATCAGGGAGGAAAGAAAAGAAGGTAACGAACTAGAGAGAAGATAAGAAAGAAACTCCCAAGAAGGAATATGCGATGGTGCTTTTTGCCGTATGCAATATATAATCAATAACACCCCCCCAAAAAAAGGTAGAAAGACAGGAAGAAAAAGAAAAAGAAAAAAGAAAAACAGAATCAACAGCGAAGAAAAGGAACTCAGACCCGCCCGATAGGTAGAGTCGCCATGATGCCAGCACGCAAAGGAGGGAAATACGAGGGTGGAAACTGGAGGTGGAAAAGCAGCAGCAGGAAAAAAAATTAACGAAATGGATATCGTAAGATTAGATAACGTATAAAATAACGATACGAAACGAGGGAGGAATAAAACAACATTTTCATCATCTGTTCGATGGCGGGAGGAAGTGGTGTTCGGCATCACGCTCTGCAGTGTCAGGCCTCATGCCCGTAGCAGATGCCCCATCGCTCTCGACGATGCCAACTTTCGGGTCCGGAATCTGGATGTCGATAGACATATAGCCCGTGCTCCGTAAACTCCAGATCTTCACGCCTTCTCTGATACCAACACTGGAATTCCAGTGCTCAAGCCACTGCTCAATGGACTTCAGGTGACTCTTGACGCCTGTAGCCCCGAAGTCATCCCAGATCCAACCTGTTGCTAGTCCAATTGCACCGTCAAGCCAGTTGCGTGCACTGAAAGGGTCGAATGAAGCAATTAGTTCGTCGTTTATCTTCGCGATAACGGTTCGGAATTCATGCTCTGGAAGCAACGGGTCAAGGATTTCGGGATATAGGTTCGAAAACGTGGGTGCGAGATCACCCTTGACCATCCAATCGCGTCGTATGCGGATGATTCGAGTGTTTTGGTATTCCAGAGAATTGACGGGGACGTGTGGATTCATATGTGGGAAACAAGGGTGTGAAGGGCCCCAGGCTAATTCTTCCGCGACATCGCCATCTGCACCACCGCCGCCTGAAGAATGATTGCCGTTGGTAGAAGGGATGGAAGCAAACGTCTGTGATCGCAAAGAGTGTTGTGATGGAACTTCCCGAGGGCGGTCTGGATGGGCTCCAGCAACCTGGTGAGTGTTTAACCCGTTGGTTCGCAAGTGAGTGGGGTCTGGCCGGCGAATATTATCTGCATCTCCTTGTCTCACCCCTGTACCTTGATCTAAATTGTTGACCATATTAATGGTTTCCCACACACCACTGCGTCGATGGCCGGGAGGAAGCCCGATACTTGCGCGTCCACTCTCTGTATCCGCGACGCTGCGCTCAACCAACAAACTCGTTGGACTGGGTTGTTGGCGACTGCGCCGCTGTTCCGGAATGGTCAGCAGAGGATAAGCGTCCCGTTGTGATTCGACGTAAGGAGAGGTGTCGGAGATCGGAGAAGGGCGTGGAGCGGTGACGAAGGTTGTGCGGGGGACGTAGTTGATGGGATTCCAGAGCCTGGACGATGGCGGTTTGCGAATACTTGTGCGAATGGATGAGAAGAGAGAGCGTCCGTGGGAGTTGCGGCGTTGGTGAGGGGTATGTGCTGCTCGTCGAGGGGGGGGTTGGTAGGCGGGTTCTGGAGGTTGGAGGGAGGACGCAGCAGAAGAATTGTTCGTGAAAATGGGAACGAGCGGGATATCGGTGTAGGGCCCTTCTTCAGCCGGCCGCGATGATAGATAGCGTGGACGGTGAATGGCGTAGGACGCCGTGGTTGTTGTCGACGACACGGAGAGAGCGTCGTAAAGGGGTTCTGCGGTGGTGTCAGGCGAGGGTGAGGTTGGCGCTGTTGCTGCTGAGGACGAGACTGGCGGAGGCTGCGGGCGGTGATTGGCGAGAGCAGAAGCCGAGAAAGGGGCTTGGGGGAAGGCCTAGTAGTAGTACTCAGCGTAGAAGGGACAAGCAGCAGCAGCATGCCTACACAACCACAACTCAGCAGAAATGGACACTGGTCTGGTCTGGCCGGAATTGAGGAGAAATGGGGCAAATGAAGGCGGAAAATATGGTTGAAAAGGTTTCAATGAGTGAGTGTAGGGCAGGGGGGACGGGGAATAAAATGATAAAAAAAGTAATGACAATCGGGAGTAGTAAAACCAATAATAATAATATCGGAAGAAATAATCCAAGCAGCACCACCACTCAGTTCCACTTCACGGTTTAGCATCAGAGAGAAGATCCAGGCAATAGTTCCCCACAACGATGTCCATTCCGAGCGAGTGGTAAAGTCGACCTTAACAGAGACCGCGATAATCCAAAAAGGAGCTGCAGTTAGTTCAGTTGGTCGAGCTTAAGCAGTCGAAAACTGACCTATCCTGAACAACACGATCAACTCCAGTGGCCACCGCAAATAGCTCAAACCAATGCTCTGGCCAAGCCCACGATCGTTCGTTCCTGTGCTCCCGGAGGCTGATATGACAGCATTAATATATTGGACAGATCCTATTTTTTTTTCTTTTTAGGCCGGTTTCAGGTCTCGCGCTCCCCGTCCCAGGTATTGGGATATATCATATGTCTCTCCTTCAATATAATGGCTGAGAAGAGCCTACGAGAAGACTTACAAGAAGACTATGGAGATTACGGGACTAATTATCTTCTTATAACGCTGGCTGTGGGAGGAGAAGCAGGGTCCATAGGGATGGGCCACGCAGCTGTGACCGCAGCGCCCTTGCACCGCTTGCGAGCTCGCGTGGATGAACGCATACTGTCCCACCAAGCCGAGAACATTTTTTTAGGATGATTTTAGATCTACCGTCAGCTTCCAGCAATCAGCTAAGCTGCCTGCTAGTCTGTGACAGTGTGAAAGAAAGACGCATTCCGCCTGGTTTCAAATATTATAAAAAATGTGAGCGTTTGATCCCTTGGGTGCTATACATCTACGCCTTACCACGCAAAGAAACACTTATTAACATAATACATCAGGATCCTGAATATAACCTGGTTTGGCTGTACAGGCTGTACCTGCCGAACGAATGTCAGGAGTCTGTCGTCTGTCCTTCACCACGCAGCCCACCCAGGGTCCAGCAAACTGCCAAAGTCGCACTTCGGTCTCAGTCCGGCGTGCGCTTACGCTGCGTAGTTTGCTCGAGTTTCCAAGCAGCATGGATGCATGGATACCTGCATCAGAGACCAATAACGGAAAGGCATGGCGAGGCCTCCGGAAGCCATTCCAGGTCTCCCCGGCACCCGCCTAGCTGGGTATGGTTCTGAACCATCACCGCACTAACTCCTTTAGTTAGGCTGTTTAAAACGGTGCAAAGCCTCCCCAAAACCGAGAAGCAGGACGGCTACTCGAGGGACAAACCCCTTGTGAATGTTGGCGTCTTGCTCTCTCCTTTTATGTCCTTTAGGCTTTTTGACAGCAATAATAATATCTTCGTATCGTTCGTCGTTCTGAATACTATTAATAGCAGCAAAACCTACCAGCCGCAGCCGCCTGCAGGGGCCGATGAGTTTGTACAGGTATTTCCCCAACGGCTAGAAGCATACATACATAATACATAGTACATACATAAAAACCGTGCGTGGAAAACGGTCGCCCTGCATCAACCCAATATTAATGTCCACTCCTCTGACCATTCCATTCCTTGCCTGGACTAAATTATTCATGCAAGCTGTGAAAAATCACCGGTCTCCTCGAGCGTACGGAGTACAGGAGGCTAAACCTACTCCCTAGATCGAGGCTATTGGAACGGGAGCCCTGGGGGGCGAGAGGTCACAATGTTTTTTTTTTTTTTTTAAAAAAAAAAAAAAAAAAAATCGGAACCGCTCCTCTTTGGATGAGAAAGCTAGGGCTCCCGTGCCTGTGGCCTGGGCTCAATAGTCTTCGCTAGCGGCTGCAGGCGGCTGATATGTCAGTGGAGGCTCCACATCGCGGATTTTCTCTCAGGAACAGGAAATTTTTATCACGCCGGTGGATTTCCAACTGCCGGAAAGCTACGAGCTACTGGCATGCCCAGTAGCGCTTTCCTTTCCTCCAACTGGAAATATTTTTCATAAGATAAGATTCACACGTACGGCGTATAGTTCCTGGGGGAAATCCTCCTGCATGATCTAACCTACAAATCGTGTCATGACTGAGTTTTATCTGCCCTGCGCGACGGCTATCCATCTGTCGATATTTAATATTAACTTATAAAACACCTCTCTAGAACATGGCCTAGTAACGCATTTTATTAGTGGCTCTTTTCTGCTCTCAGTGCTGCTTTTGCACCTGTTGCTCACCACTTTTAAATCACAAAGTCAGCAGCTTTCTCTATATAAATATCATGATGCCGCACAAGAGCTTTTCTACTTCAAATAAATACTATTTATCATCTGAACACTTTTCTCTTGCTCTTAAGTTCTTTTTCTGGCGAAAATTTAGTTCTCACAGATTTACTACTGCTCTGAGCTAAATAAAGAATCCTTTCTCTATAATTTTTGAAGCATTAACTCTAACATGTATTGTGTAACACTGGCCAAGCAGTTATTTCACTATCTTGTTCAAATCACTGTAAATCAGAACAATATTCTTTTCAATACATTAATAAGATGTTCTTATCAAACACTTCTATTGAATCTCTTTGAACCATGGATATATTTGATATGTATGTATCAATGACCTTTCCGCGCAGCAAAAATTCTGAGTCAGGATAAGATGGCAATCAACTGATAATAACAGTTACAGATTATAACCTTGGAAGTTATAATACATGACATTTTGATTAAACCCTGCATGAACAATAAGACAGACACCTTCCAAAATCTTTCTGGAACATGCTGAGATACCTGAATCAGAGATGATAGTTTGCCCCCGTCAGACACCCCCCTGACTTGCTACCGGGGGTAGCCTGGTTAGGTACATGTACATGTATGTACATGTACATCCATACATGTAGCTATCCATTCATATTTGTAGTAAAATTTGATTATGGAGGGGCCCCGGGCGGCGGCTAGAAACTCATCTCCACCCCTAAAGCGGTATCTTCTATTGCATTTAATTATTTCCTATTGTGATATATATGGTTCCATATGGCCTGGCTACTGCGTAATCGCCCCATAAATTGATTATCCAACAATAGCTTCCCCCATTAGATAGAGACTGGGATAATGAGACCAGTAATCTTGGTCTGTAGCACAGTGTTTCTAGCCGCACCTCTACGCTGTATGTACAGCCCCTATGAGTACTACTTACTGCCTTGCCCCGATCATTCGTCCCAACGAGTGAAATGGATTCTCCGCCCTTGGCGCCTCCGAGGCACACCTTCACTTTAGTTAGATAGAGGGGATATTACAACTGTTGACGCGAGTATAAAAATGAAATAATGAATGTAAAAGTAGTGAGCAAGGCATTAACCAGTATTAAGGATTTATGCTCTTAGGCCCATCCATAAGGAAGTTAGGGTAGAAAGAGCAGGCGAGGACTCTACTTGATTTAATAATCAAGTAAAAGCGTGTGCGCATTCCCAGATTCCCTAAGATCTCCTGTTCTCCGCACTCCTGGCGGGTTATAGATACGGCTCAATTAAGCGACTATAGTTCGTCTGCATGTCAGATTGATTGTAGTGGGATATATGAAATCTTATTATTGGAGTGAGAAACGACGTACGCGCCGAAACCAGCCATTGGAGCGCTATACGCTGTCTGTCAGATTACAGCACAGATGCACTTTCGAGAATTGAGTAGGATAGCCTGATACATAGCCTTTTCACAACTCTACTGCCTATTACAGGGTGACATGTTATCATGACATGATTGTAACTTAGCAAATTATCATATATCTACAGTACAAAATGATGCAATCCCTTCGTGCTTAAAATATATCATCACCTTCCGCGAGCACCCTACCTACCCCCCGCAAGACCAAAAACCAAACGGCAAGCAATCATACATAAAACAAAACAGTTACTCCACGAGAGAGGGCAAAATTAGTAAAAGAAACTAGAGCTTCATCCCTCTCTGAAAAGAAACAGACAAAGCCCCTTAGACATGTTTATTCGCCGCCGCCTGCATCCGTCTCAGCGCCTCGTTATGCACATATTGTAGATGCCCCTTCCTCACCGCCTGTTCTATCATCGAGGTGCGATGGCTGTCCTTGATAGCCTCCTTCTGTCTCCTCAGCTGACTGCGCTGCAGCTTTTTGAGCAGATCGGCCCGGCGTGTCTCCAGAGCCGCATCTGGAAGGTGCTTTACCAGGTTTTCTTCCCTGAACGATTCACGCCAGCGAGCAAGTTTCGCCTCACGGACCTGTAGTAAATCCTGCTCTTGTGCATGGTCTTGATATTGCCGTCGGGGAGTAACTAGAGACATGTTGTCGAGAGATAAATAACTGCAAAGAGATGTGCGGCGGTGTCGGCCCGGTGGTGTTTGCGCCTGGTTTTGGGTGTGCATGTCTCGATGGATTAACTGGCGACGCACGGAAAGAGGAAGGTCGTCGGCAGATTCAACGTTCGAGTGGTGCTGGTGGGAGGGATGTGGAGAGAACGATCGGCATGCGGTTTGTGGTGGTATCTTGAGAGAGAGTTGGGACTGGGACCTAGAAAGGCGGTCGAGGTTTGGGGATGAATAGTTTGAAGGAAGTAGGAGGGATCTGTTGCGAACTGCGGTCTCACGCTGCGCAAGTAGTAGAGAAGACGGCATGCGGAGTTTTCTGGTCGGTGGGCTCCGGTCGTGTGCTTTGTTCATTTCCGGTATACTGTTAGCGGGGATATAGATTGATGGGATGGATGAAGCGGGTCTTGTCCCATTCCTATCCGGTTGCCCAGCTACATTGAGTGTGGAGCTGGACCCTGAGCGGTGTAGTGGATGAATGGGTGGGGTTTTAGAACGGTTTGTAGAGTTGGAAGATTTAACAGGTGATGGAGCTGGAATACTGTTGGTCGTCTGGAAGCCAGTATATGACTTTCTAGGGGAACTCGGTACAAGTCCCAGGTCTTCTTCGTGATGAGACCTGGAAGAGGCTGAATTATCTGTATCGAACCCCTGAAACGGCAAGGCTCCCGTGGCGGTTTGTTTAAGCTCTGATACTAACACAGGGGCAGCTGGTTCATCTATTTCCGCATCTTGCTCCACCTCATCAGTTTCCCTGATTTCTGGAGGTTCAGCATCGGAGATATGTTTAGCCCATTCGTTTGTCCTGTGGGAGAGTACTGCTCTAGACATGTGATTGGCGATGCTGTCCACTGACTCCGATGTCAACTTCGCTCTTGACGGAAGCGCCGATTGCATTTTCGACAATCTCTTTGGGACAGGAATGCTCGACATAAGAGATCCCGAAGCGTCGCTCGGTTTATCGTGCTTATCTGACGTTCGCTGATCAGCTGAAATACTTTCAGTAACAGGCTCGACAGCGACAGATGCACGCGTTGAAGTGGATTTTTGATCTACCGTTCCTGTGCTAGACTCGTCCGACTCGGGCGAAGGGATATCGGTTGCCGGGGTCTGGTCACTTTCACTTGAGTAAACACCGGCATTTTCATCAAACTCTTGATTCCGGTTAGCTAGCCTTGGGGTCTTCTTTGGAGTGTTGTAGTCTGCCCATCTAATTTTGAGCACAGGGGCAGGTGCATTGTTTATTACAGCTCCTTCGTTGTCATTGGTGCTGTCCAGAACAGATGAATCAGGCTCCGTGATGAAGGTCGGTTCAGCCGTCCCTTGAAAATTAGAGTATACAGAAGATGGACTGCATAGTGTACCGCTGTCGACCTGCCGGGGTCCCACGTTATAATCGAGTTCTTCATTGGCTTCCACTTTAACGGAAGAAGAAATGCTCCGAGTATCGTTAACGAAAGTGAATCCGTCACCGTCGTCACCTTTAAGGTTGCCCTCCATAGTCTGCTCAGGTACTGAATGTCGGAGTAAATCCCCAGAGGCCATTTCAGTATGCACGCATTCCATGTAGTCCGACTCGGCCAACGAGGCCGCAGCTGAACTACACTCATCATCCGCCCTAACTTCAAAAGGATTGGCCCTAACTGAGTTAGTAACAGTATTGCAAGGGACGAGCTTCTCATGATCCGCAGGTAATTCATGCAATCCTGGCTGGTATCCAGGGGCTATATTCGGATTGGTGTCCTGTGCATCCTCGGAAGAAGACCCATTGGACAGAGGAGTATCGGATTGAGTAGCTGAAATCAATGACTGAATCGGTTTCCGTGATCTGGTATCTCCAGCTGGCCTATGCAGCGCATCCATTTCATAAATCTGGGTTTGCCCCGCTGGTGTTCTATTTTCTGGCGTCGCCAAGTGCCTTTCATGATCTGCCGCCTGCTCGATGTCAATCCCAGAATCGTTTGGTGGCCGCTCCTGGCCGCCATATATAGATTCCCACTGAGCTCTATCTCGACTCGTGCCCTCTTCCAAATTTCTCGCTATCTCTTCTTCAATCTGGTCACGCTTCTTTTGTTCTTCTTCCAGTAAAGCGGCCTCTTTTCGCCGGCGATCTTTAATCACCTTCCACAACTTGGCTTGAGATAAAAGGCCCATCAGAAAAATTGCAACGATGCCTGCAAGCTCCGCTCGAATTCCTCGGGTAATAGGATAGGTTTTTGTGTTAGACGGGAATACTTTCTCATTTAGTTCTGCAAG